CAAAATTCAAAAAATCTTTTTGCAGTTTTAAATTTCGAGTTCAGCAAAAAAACACAAAAAAAAAAGATACAGATGGAGATTCAAAGTTCTAAATTTTGAGCGTAAATTCAAACATAGAAAGTTATAGGGAAAAGACATAAAATCCCCTCGGAACTTGTTCGCACAACTTACTTTAGCACTTTAACTATACAGGTGTTTAAATACCCCCTTAACATCTTTTAAGTGATTTTTTTCAACCCTCCCATCACCAGCCCAGTTGAAGGTTGAGTGTTGTTGAGTCACACGCGTTTTCATTCGTCCATGTGTACATTAACTAAATTCCTAATTAATTGCTTAAATCTCCATAATAATTGTTTTTTTGAATATTGAGCCAAAAATTAAACTCATCAATGAATTTACTCCTCAATATACAAACTATAATTCAAATTTCAATTGCATTTTCAATTTAGTTACACCATACCACCTTCGTCAAAAATTTAAAAAATTATTTGCATAAAAATGAAAAATTATTAATGAATTGGGCGAAATCTCCATAGTTAATCTTTTGCCAATTATATCTTCGATCTCTTTTTTTAATGGAAATCAACTTCATTCTGATAACGCTTTAAACTAATAGATCTAATAATCTTCTTTGATGTCAAAAATGGTGTTGGTGAATCAAACACCAAAAATTTTGTAAAAAAAAAAGAGACGATTAAAAATAGAAAAGAAAAGAAGAAGAAAAAATGTGGAAGAAATTATATTTGGGAGTAAATATTTACTTGAACTAAATGAAAAGAATAAAAAAAGAGAGAGATATGAGAAGAGGAAAAAAAAATGAAGAAGAAGATGCAGAAAAAGAACAAAAATGAAAAAAAAAAATGAAGAAGAAGATGTAGAAAAAGAAATATAGAGAGAAAAGTTAATTCAAAATAAAATATTTAAAAATTAGTAAAATAAGTTATTGAGTATGTTATCCAATAAAAATATGACATGTGTCAGTATTTTGGTGTCTATTCCTTTCTCACGCGCTTATGAAAAATTGATGATACAAATTTTGTCACGTCACTCTTTAAGGAGTAATTAAATTCAATTCAAATTAAATTAAGGGGTAAAGAAACACTTGTAAGTGCTAAAGTAAGTTGTGTGGACAAGTTCATGAGAGATTTTATGTCTTTTCCCAAAGTTATAAGTTGTTTATCAAGTTCATACCATACATACATGTTAAAGAAAAAGTCGATCCAAAATTTAAAATTTATAATTCACTATAAATGAAAAATAAAGTAAATAATCGTTATTAATTCTAATTAATGACGTGTTGGCAATGGACTATCATAAATCATGTTAGCTATAGGATAAAACTTTAAGGGTATTTTTTATATTCTATGCACACTTTTAATTAGAACCAAAAGATTCAAAAATCTTTTTTGGAGTCCTAAATTTCGAGTTCAGTCAAAAACACACAAAAATGATACCGATGGAGAGTATGTAAAAATTGTGTAGTACAATTAAAATTTTGAGATTCAAACTTCTAAATTTTGAGCCTATATACAAACATAGAAAGTTTTAAAAAATTTAACACAAAATTTATATATTTAGAAAGTACATAAAAACTACTATAAATCACAACTAATAACTTAAAATATTTAAAAGACATAAAAAATTCAGTCAAATTGAAACTTAATTGACTATCGAAATTCCAAATGTATCATAAAAATTGAGAAGAAAGGTGTATTATATTATATTATGGTACTATTAGGAACATGGTGAGATGGTCGGAATATTTTCTCTTATTTTAATCAGAGATCTCGAATCATGCCATGTGAATGGCCTTGCAGGCATGACGTCAGAAGAGTCAGGTCAGTTAATTCGAACACTGAATACTTAAAAGAAATTATAAGGAAGAAGAAGACCAACCAGTAGCCATGACAAGCATTGCTAGAAGTAACATAGTAGCAAATAAACGCATGGAGTTTGCCATTAATTTTCACAAGCAAATTTTACAGTTTTTATTTTTTGATATATGTTAGAGCTAATATTTGTGTGGCTTTTTATAATAAGATAAAAGATGCTAAAATGAGTGTCTCGTGAACTTGTACTAAAAGTTTGTTGGAATATTTTTGGTCACTCAAATCACGTTTTTATACTTTGTTGTTTATCAATATAATTTTTAAATATATATACATATGGACAAATCAAGATTATAAAACAATAGGAGTAGACTGGTTGGTGAGATAAGAAATAATAATAATTTTGAGATTTATCTCGTATTTGGTTATGATTATTAGTTATATAGTCTACGAACTAGTTTGTACTAAAATTAATGGTGGGAGATTAGGGGCCTATTTGGCTATAAAAATATTTAATTTTTTCAAAGTTATATTTCAAATTTGGGAAACAGCTTATGACTTGTTTTTCAATTTTGAAATATTGTTTCAAGTATATTTAAAGTGTGGATGTTGTTTTTAAATACATTTTATGAAAAATATAACTAAACTAAGCATACTCAATTTTCAACTTTAACTCCATAAATTTTAAATAAAATGAAAAATATTTGAAATCTATATATTGTCAAACAAATTGGTATATAAAATAGTTATTTTCATAAGATATTTTTATTATATCATCCCAATTACCAAACAAGTCTCTGATGTGCATCATCTCACAAGTTTAATAAAGTAATTAAATAACCTATGTGAATAAATACGCCTCAATTTATTTTTTTTACTTTTTCTATATTAAAAAAATATTATTTTGTATATTAATGACTCTTTAATTTAAATATCTCATATGAGTTATTTAAAATATTAAAATTTATAGAATATTTTAACATATTAAATATATCATTACTTTAAAATTATAAAAATAAAAAATCTCCCTTATTTTTTAAAACCAATGAAACTAAAAACACATAAAATTAATTTAAAATGACGCTAAAGAGGCAACAATTAGCCAAATGCAAAAGTTTACTTTGCATAGAGGTTTTGAGTTCGAGTGTTGGGTATGAAAATATTTCTTGATAGAGAGTGATATCTCCCGAATTGGGCCTTACCTGACACAAATTTAAATTAGTCAGACTTCAATATGAATATCAAAAGATTTTTTTTTAAGAAAAGGATTTATTTTGCTTAGTCTAATTTCATCCCCTATTTTACTTTTAATTTCACTTATGCTTCCTCTTCTTTTTGAACTCTATTTTAACTTTTAGCTTGAGTTTAGAAATTATTCCTTCTATATATCTCATTTACGTATACACTTTATATGATACACGTTAAATGTACAAATAGAATTTAAAGTATTCTAAAAATATGGAGATCCAACTACAAAAAGACAGACAATGTAATATTCTTTTGAAGTTTAAATTCAAAACTAATGTTTATTTATGATATTTGAATGAATTTCAATTTTTTATTATAAATCTTAAATTCTTCTAAAAGTAGAAATTTAATTTCAAGTTTATCGTTTTAAGTGTTAAAAAATTTAAAACTTAACTTATAAATTTATATTTATTAAAAAAACTTATAAGTTTGAAAAAAAAATAAAAAATCTCATCATGTCCAACATAAAATTTGAATTTAAAAGGAACTAATTAGCTAGATAATGGACACATGCTATTCATAATTCTTATTTCATACCAAGACGTTGCAGCTAAACACACTTGTCTCACTTTGAGATAGTAATATGTTTAATTAGTGTATTTTTATTTTTATTTTTTTAGTCTGATTTTGATTTTTCATAAATCTTAACAAAATTTTAAAAAATTAGTGAATTTGTGATTTTATATTAAAGATATGTAATATGTATAAAATTATTCTTTAATTTATGATTTTAAATATATCATATAAAAAATTACTAAAGAGTCCTAATATATATATATATATATATATATATATATATATATATATATATATATAATAAGCCACAATGTAAAGATTTTTATAGTATTTAGTTACATTGCAACTATCTTGTTAGCTTTCAACCAAAAGCTAACAACATTTTTAGTTACATATTTATTATTTAGTTAAATAATAAATATGTTATTGTATGAGCTATTTATTACTCATTCCTTTTGAATTTGTTAATTTGATTTTGATCTGACACATAGTTTACGAAAGTAAATTAGATTTTGAGAAAAAATATTAAGTGATACTTGAAGTTGTCCCAGATTTTCAAAAAGACACCTTAACTTTGCGTGCGTCCTATTATCCCACAAAACATTCAAAATCACAATAAATACACATTTTTTACACAATATTTCCACTTTGGACAAAATATCCTTCGAATGTGCAATTTCTTAAAAACAAAAAGTCGGACCCATTATTGATGTATTGAAGGATGCTTTGATAATTTCCTATGATGAATTCGTTTTGTTTGTTTCTTTTAAATTTATTTTACTATACTAATAATTGTATAAAATATTATGAATCACGATAATTAATTACTTAAGTCCTAATATATATATATATTATATATATATATATATATAAAATCATTATTATATGTCAGTGATTTTATGAGCCACTTGACCAATAATTGAATTACTATCCGACATATCTTGATGGCTTTCCTTATCTCCATGGGGTCGTGCAAAGGTAAGTATAATAATCTCGAGATAAAATATTAAATTATTTTATTATTACTTTAAAATTAATTATTTTACTATTTGTATTTATAATAATAAAATAGTTTTATCTAATAAAATATAGTATGAGATAGCTTATCATGTAGAACAATTTTGTCTATTCCATTGCCATTCAAATAACCCCTAGCTTAGACTTTAACCAATATTCCTATTCACAGAAAATTTAAAAATTATATTAAAGAAAATAAAAAATTGATACTATTTAACTAAAGATTAAATGTGTTTAATAAAATATCATTATGAATGATTAACTACTTATTCTTAGAAATCTTTCTTGTTTTTTTTTATTATTATTGTACATCGCTTATGAAAACTTTATTAAAAACTTACCAATTAAAGATTAAAAGACAAATTTTATCCATAATATTTCAAAAAAAAATACACCACATGAAGAAATTAAAAAGTCTAGTGCACAATAATTGCATATAAATTCAAAGATCACGACTAGTTTTACAAACAAAACTAGCACTACATATATATCTTTGAACAATCATAGAGTACTTTATTCAAGAGTACATAATTTTTTTCTCATAATTCAAATTATTATTATTATTAATACTCATTTAGCATGGCTTAGTGCAAAAGCAACGGCGACGGAATCCATGGCAATTGCCACTGGAAAATCTTTCGGTCTCACAGACCGAGGCACAATTCTTATCGCTCACACATGGTCCCTTGAAACGATGGCTCAACGATTCGCAATTTCTTGCCTCCACAATTCTCATTGGTCCCATCTCTATAAAAAAAAAATCATGTTAGCTATGTACGAGTTATTTAACAACAAATTAATGATGAATTTTTTAGTTAATTCTTGTTTTGTTATATCGTCGATGTCAAGTCTATATATTGTATACTAACAATCTCACAAATTAAAGAGTAAAAGTATACTCTCTACTTTGCAATTTATATGTCTTCCTCCCCCTCTCTTTTTTAATTTATATTTAACAAATTTTTAATTTCAATATTATCCTATATATTATATACCCTTAACAAACCAATTTCTATAAAATGACATAACAATGTGTAATACCATAAGAGGAAAGTATTTTCACTATACTAAACATATTTTTACTTCAAACTTACAAGATTCAAAAATCTTTCATATATTCTTAAATTTTGAGCGTCAGTCAAAAATATATAAAATTAAAATAGAGGGATTATTCAAAAAAATGCGCCCCCCGGCCACTACTTAGGAAAAAATAAATAACAATAATATGGTATGACGATATTTACATCTTTAACAAGAAATCACTAAAGAATGTGATGAGATGACTCGAAATTGTCAGTATTCTTGATAGAGAGTGATTTATCCCCTATAAATGACCTTACCAACATAATATTAAAAAATGGAGCTAGTAAATTTCGAACATAATTTAAATAGAAAGAAGTCTAACCAGTAGCCATGACAAGCATAGCTAGAAGAAAGAAAATAGCAAAGAAACGCATGGATAGAACCATTTTCACAATTTTTTGAGAGAGAAGAAATAATAAATATTTTTTGATGTAATGTGAGAGATATTGAGGCTAGTATATATGTGGTTTTATAGGGCTCTAAGTCTTATCTTGTGGAAGATGACAATGTAATGTGAGAGATATTGAGGCTAGTATATATGTGGTTTTATAGGGCTCTAAGTCTTATCTTGTGGAAGATGACACGGAAAAAATAATAATAAGAAAAAATCTTTTTTTTATTGATAGTTTGAATTAAACTACATATGTATTTTATGTGTTTTAATTTACGTGTCTTACTTTTTTAAAAAAAAATTATTTTAGAAAGAATATTGTCTTGTTTTTATTGTTTTATTTTAGCTTTTTTTTTATGTCATTAAGAAAAACAAGATATAAGGTATTATTACTAAGTTATTTTTATTTATTAGATGTTTTTGAGAATTGAATATTGTTAAATAAAAAAATAAATTATATATTTCTCTACTGTTAAGGATATATTTGATAAGAGAGGATTGGTCAGATAGTAAACATTCTCTACCTCAAACTTAAAATTGTAGGTTCGAGATATCGAAGGAGCAAAAAATGGTAGAAGCTCCTAAATGAGTAAAACAAATGAACTTTTGATTAAAATATAATAATAATAATAATAATAATAATAATAATAATAATAATTGTTACAAATATAGTTGAAAACAATTGACAGCTTTTAAATTCCTACAATAATGTTATGAGTGACCCCGTATTTCTATAAGCAGTATTCAACTTTTAAATTTTATTATTGTACGTGATATTTTTAAAATTATAAAAATATTTAATATATTATACATATTCTAAATTTAAAAGTCTTTTCCTTTTCTTTTCAATTTTTAATCTGATGACTTTATTAGTTCATATCATAAAAAATTTTAAAAAAATTATTTTATATTCTATGTGCACTATTTGTATTAGAGTTTAATTAATTTGAATTTCGCGTTGCATAGATCTCAATAGCCAAGGAAATGTTTCTTACGAAGAAACTTTTAATACCCAAAACTTAAAATCAAAATTCATAATTAAAGAATGAATAATTTTATCCGATTCATCACATTCTTTGATAAAATATCACAATAAAAGTAATGATAATATTGTTTCGTTAATTTTAGTTATGCAAGAAGACAATGTGCTTTTCACACTTAAAACGAACTAAATATAATATAATATTGAGTCCATGGTTGGTATATAATTCTGTTTTATTAACAATTCATGATATATTTAACTTAAATTATTGTTTTTTTTTTAAAAAAAAAAAATCCAATTATATACATGGACAAATCTACATAAAGACCATGTGTCATTATATCACAAGTTTAAACTTTGGGGTATTTATAGTTCAAAAATCTTTTATATCGCGCATTATTATTCCTAAATTTTAATTTGAACAAAACACAAGAATAAAGATAGTAAAAATTAGAGGTCCAAAACAAATATTATCCATAATATTTTAGAAAAAACAAAAAAGACTCACCACATAAAGATTACAAGTCTAGTTTTACAAACAAAACTAGTAATATTACATATCTTTAAACAATCATAGTGTGATTTATTCAAGAGAACTTCTTTTACACATAATTCAAATTATTATTAATACTCATTTATTATGTGTTTTACTTTTCTTTGAGTCTGTTTCAATAATAATAATAAATTTTTTTATTTCAAAAATGAAAAACATGTGTAATACTATAAAATCCTTCTTTTTGGGTCACAATTTTCTTTATCAATCAAAGACCATACGAGTCTGGATTTATTATAAATGAAAAAAAATATGTGCAAGCCATGTGGGTTGACCTAAAGTGCACGATCCACCAAAAATTAAAAGACAACAAAAGCAAAAAAATAATTCAATAAGATCAAACATCTTTCTTACATTAAAAAAAATATTACCATAAGATCAAACATATTTCTTACATTATAAATATATTACGGTATGACAATATTGACAACTTTAATGAGGACTACTAAAAAAATATTACGGTATGACAATATTGACAACTTTTACGGGAACTACAAAAGGTGTTATAAAATGATTCGAAATTGACAATATTTTTGATAGAAAGTGTTTTATGTATAATTTAAATTTAAAAAAATGACGAGGAAGAAGAAGACTAACCAGTAGCCATGACAAGAACGGCTAAAAGAAATACAGTAGTAAAGAAACGCATGGAATATGCCATTTTCACAAATTTTTGAGAGTGAAGAACTTTTGATTTTTTTTTATATAATTTTTTATATCGAGGCTAGTATATATATGGTTTTATAGGGATCTTACTTTGTGGAAAATGACACAGTAAATAAATAATACATGTTTTTTTTTCTTTTTATTGATTGTTTGAATTAAACTACGTACATACGTACATACTCTTTATTTTTTAGTTTATCTTAAAAATAATATTATTCCGTCTGTAGTATTTTAATTATCATCTTAACTCTTTTATGTCGGTCAGGAAAGGCAAGATATATGATAGGATAGTAAACACCTTTTACCTACGTCCTCCAACTTAAGATCGTGGTTCGAATTATCAAGAAAATAAAAAAGAAAAAAGCATTTAAAAAGGGGTAAAAGAATTTAATCTTTCAATAATAATGATAAATAAAAAAATATATTAAGAATATAAGTGAAAACAATTGATAGCTTAAATCTTAAATTTCTAAAGTAATGGTAATTGTTTTAAAGCCAAAATAACCGTTAAAATGAGAAGAAAATAGGTGGTGGTGGTGATGGTGGTAATGAGGGGGGGGGGGGGGGGTAGTATTTATTATAATCAGTGCTTAACTTTTACATTTCAATATTTTACGTAAAATGTAGAATCATATAATTCAAAAGACCTTTATACATTATTCTTATTATTTTTTTCTAGTTTTTATTCTCAATCAAATAAATTTAGAAGTAAGATATATATATATATATATATAAATATAAATATGTTGAATATGTGATGACTTTATTAGTTCATATCACAATAAGAAGATTTAATGTATCACATAAGACTTTATTTAGCGAAAGCACTTCCTTTTAAGTTGTTTTTTTTTTTATATCTAATCTTAAAATTGAGATTTATTATTAAAGAAAAACAATCTTATCTGTTACACCACATTTTTAAATAAAAGAATATCACAAAAAACAATTAAATATTTTTTCTTTAGAAAAAGAGTTATATATATCGACAAATCTAGATTAAGACTATGTGTCATGATATCACAAGTTTAAACTTTGTCATGATAAAGATCACTATGTGTCATTCCATTAATTATATCACAAGATCTTTTATATAATCAAGTTAAAGTAATCTATAAGGGATAATTCTATAAAAATAAAATAAACAACCAGTTGTAATATATACTGAATAATTAACCAAAGTTAAAATAATCAATTACCTTGCACTTTTTTTTTCTTTTTTCTTTTGAATTCTATTCCAACTTTTAGCTTGATAGAGTTTTTAAATTATATTGCTTTCTATATATGTCACTTACGTGCACATTTGTGTATTCTCATGTAAATTAGTCAAATCGACCATCTAATTTAGATGGATTTAATTTGGTCTAGTAGATATACAATAAAATAAATAAAAATATATTTTATCAAATGAACACCTATTTTTTTTTATATATATATACTAAAATTTCATGGCGAATTAAGGTTACCCAACAAAGATAGAGGGGACCGAGACTGAAGTGGGACGGAATGGAGGGGGAGGGGTGGGGACACGAAACACTAGTTCCGTCCATCCCATTAAGCTTATGGGATAAGACGAGACTGGGGCCTTGGTGAAATTTTTTCTTATTTTCATTCAAATTTGACATTAATTAATAAGTAATAAACATTTCAATTTTGAGAAATATACCCATCTAAACATATTAACTCAATTGTCTTTACAGTATTTCATGAAAATCTGATACTGATTAATATCTAAATGTTTATTTTGTTTGTTGAAGTGCTTAACTAATATTTCATTTCACCGAACACTTGTCTGAGTTTGAGCTAATAATATGTTTAATTATTGAAATAGTTGATTGATTAAAGGTGATAGTAACACATTACTATTTTGTAAAGAGTAGTGCTAATTGGCAAGACAGAATTTTGGCACGAATTGCCAAGACACGGGTAAATGACGAAAATGTCCATTTGCCTCCAAAACCACTTGTATTTCCCTCCAAAAAAGAAAACCACTTGTATGAGGCTTTTGTTGGCTGTCAAATGTACGAATGGGACCCATACTCTAACTATTTCATTTTCTTTCATCTTCTTACTCTTTTTCATTCATTTTAAAAAAAAATTCTTTGACTTTGTTTTTTCCTCCTCTACGTTACTTCATTTGTCAGAGTTATAAAGACTTTTTAACACTTGCCCAAAATGTCTAATATGCATATTTTACGGTATTATTTATTTGAGAGAAAAAGTAAAGTGAATGTGGCGAGAAAATTTTGAATTAATTTTTGAATGAAATGGAAGAAATTGAAGGTAATGAAATTACAAATAAAAAAATCGTAAAATTTTGCCTATTAATTTCTTGAACCTTTTATTTTTCTGTACGTATTTTATAGAATGATATATACGAAATATGAGAATTTAGATATTTTGTTTTGTGTTTGTTTATAAAAGATTATACATTGATTTTTTAATATAACTTTTTCATCATATATAAAAAATTTTAAAATTAAAAAAATGTTATAAATATTTTTTAAAAAAAAATTCTTTGTTCTATTCATGTATTTCTCTTTATAACAATCAAGTTATTTGCATTTACTTCGTATTTTAATTTATATTTTTATTTTAAGAATGTCAAGAATGAATTTTCATGTTCAAAATAACTTATGTCTTTTTAATTGATTATTTTTATTTAAATCAAGCACCATCAAGACATAGTATATCACAACTAAATTTTTAACTTTTTGTAAAAAAAAAAATCGTTGGAACAAATTTATCATATTTCTTAGAAATAATTAAATTCTTAGATAATGCATACATTTTTTGAAGGATCCTATATATAATTAGATCAATTTCTTACATTATCATATATATTCTAATCGACCAAAACCAAATAGAAAAAAAATTAAAAATATT